AATGATGGGGCACTATTCCTCCCACTGACACCAACGATGGGGCACTATTCCTCCCAATGACACCAATGATGGGGCACTATTCCTCCCACTGACACCAACGATGGGGCATTATTCCTCCCACTGACTCCAATGATGGGACACTATTCCTCCCACTGACACCAATGATGGGGCACTATTCCTCCCACTGACACCAATCATGGGGCACTATTCCTCCCACTGACTCCAATGATGGGACACTATTCCTCCTTCCGCTGACTACAAGCACTATGTCACTCTTTTTACTCCCACTGGCCACTCCGGCAATCCTAAAGTCTGAAGGGCAGTAAATTGGCCTGATAGACCGACACAAAGTTGCACATAATTGTGAAGTGGAAGAAAAATGAGAAATGGTTTTCCACATTTGTGACCAGTAAATCTGTGATCAGTGTGGCAGCATTTGTATTCGGCCCCCCCTTTACTCTGATCCCCCTAACTAAAATCTAGTGGAACCACTCTCAATCTAGAAGTCACCTGATTAGTACATAGAGTCCCCCTGTGTGTCATGTAATCTCAGAATACATCCAGCTGTTCTGTGAAGCCCTCAGAGGTTTGTTAGAGGACATTAGTGAACAAACAGCATCATAAAGGCCAAGGAACACACCAGACAGGTCAGGGACAAAGTTGTGGAGATGTGTAAAGCAGGGTTAGGTTATAAGACAATCTCCCAAGCTTTGACCATCTCACAGAGCACTTTTCAATCCATCATTCGAAAATGGGAGGAGTACGGCACAACTGCCAACCTACCAAGACATGGCCGTCCACCTAAACTGACCGGCCGGACAAGGAGAGCATTCATCAGAGAAGCAGCCAAGAGGCCCATGGGAACTGTGGAGGAGCTGCAGAGATCCACAGCTCAGGTGGGAGAATCTGTCCTCAGGACAACTATTAGTCGTCACTCCACAAATCTGACCTTTATGGAAGAGTGACAAGAAGAAAGCCATTGTTGGAGGAAAGCCATAAGAAGTCCCGTTTCAGTTTGTGGGAAGCCATGTGGGGGGGACAGCAAACATGTGGAAGAAGGGGCTCTGGTCAGAGGAGACCAACATGGAACTTTCTGGCCTAAAAGCAAAATGCTATGTGTGGGGGAAAACTAACACTGCACATCACCCTGAGCACACCATCCCCACCGTGAAACATGGCGGTGGGCAGCATCATGTGGTGGGGATGCTTTTCTTCAGCAGGGACAGGGAAGCTGGTCAGAGTTGATGGGAAGATGGATGGAGCCAAATACAGGGCAATCTTAGAAGAAAACCTGTTAAGAGTCTGCAGAAGACTTGAGACCGGGGCGGAGGTTCCCCTTCCAGCAGGACAACGACCCGAAACATCCAGCCAGAGCTACAATGGAATGGTTCAGATCAAAGCATCTTCATGTGTTAGAATGGCCCAGTCACAGTCCAGACCCAAATCCAATGGAGAATCTGTGGCCAGACCTGAAAATTGCTGTTCCCAGACGCCCTCCATCCAATCTGACAGAGCTTGAGCGATTCTGCAAAGAAGAACGGGCAGAAATGTCCCTCTCTAGATGTGCAAAGAGACATCCCCAAAAAGACTTGCAGCTGGAATGGCAGCCAAAGGGGGTCCTACAAAGTATTGACTCCGGGGGGCCGAATACAAATGTTCCCCACACTTCTCACAGATTTATTGGTCACAAATGTTGGAAACCGTTTCTCATTTTCCTTCCACTTCACAATTATGTGCCACTTTGTGTTGTTCTATCACATCCAATCCCAATAAATACATTGTAACAACAACATGGGGGGGGGGGGATACATTGTAACATGACATCATGGGGGGGGAATACATTGTAACATGACAACATGGAGAGGGGATACATTGTAACATGACAACATGGGGGGGGGGGATACATTGTAACATGACAACATGGGGGGGGGGATACATTGTAACATGACAACATGGGGGGGGGGATACATTGTAACATGACAACATGGGGGGGGAGGGGAATACATTGTAACATGACAACATGGGGGGGGGATACATTGTAACATGACAACATGGGGGGGGGGGGAAATACATTGTAACATGACAACATGGGGGGGGATACATTGTAACATGACAACATGGGGGGGGGGAATACATTGTAACATGACAACATGGGGGGGGGAAATACATTGTAACATGACAACATGGGGGGGGGGGGAATACATTGTAACATGACAACATGGGGGGGGATACATTGTAACATGACAACATGGGGGGTGAATACATTGTAACATGACAACATGGGGGGGGGGATACATTGTAACATGACAACATGGGGGGGATACATTGTAACATGACAACATGGGGGGGGATACATTGTAACATGACAACATGGGGGGGGATACATTGTAACATGAAAACATGGGGGGGGGGGTACATTGTAACATGACAACATGGGGGGATACATTGTAACATGACAACATGGGGGGGGATACATTGTAACGTGACAACATGGGGGGGATACATTGTAACATGACAACATGGGGGGGATACATTGTAACATGACAACATGGGGGAGGGGATACATTGTAACATGACAACATGGGGGGATACATTGTAACATGACAACATGGGGGGAATACATTGTAACATGACAACATGGGGGGGGGGATACATTGTAACATGACAACATGGGGGGGGGGGATACATTGTAACATGACAACATGGGGGACATTTCAGGGGGAATACATTGTAACATGACAACATGGGGGGGATACATTGTAACATGACAGCATGGGGGGGGATATACATTGTAACATGACAACATGGGGGACATTTCAGGGGGGAGTACATTGTAACATGACAACATGGGGGGAGGGGGAATACATTGTAACATGACAACATGGGGGACATTTCAGGGGGTGAAGACTTTTTCAAGGCTCTGTATACCTTGTATTGGGAAAAATTCCAAGAAAATCCTTTTTATTTTTCTAATTTTTTAAAAATATTTATGCCCAATAAGAAACTTATTATTTATATTCATTTTTATATATATATTGTAGGAAAGGAAATTTTTTCTTAGTTATTTTACTATTTATTTCCAATAATAATAATAATAATAAAAAAAAAAAAAGTAAATACAAATATATATATTCAAATATACTACCAAATTAATCCCTCAGTCCTGAAAAAAAAAATGTGTTATACATAATATGTTAGTAAAATGTTATTCATTGCAGAAAAAAAAAAAAAAAAAAAAAAAACAGCATGAATGTAGAAAATACCAGATTATGGCCACTAGATGGCGCTGAATATTGTAGGAAAAAAAAAAAGTATGTCCTTCAGCTAGATCTAGTGGCCATAATCTGGTATTTTCTTAGATTGTAAGCTCCCAGGATCAGGGCCCTCCTATCCCTCTTGTATTGAACTGTATTGTTGCTGTATTGTCTCCCGTTATATTGTAAAGCGCTGAGCAAACTGTTGGCGCCATAAATCCTGTATAATAATAATAATAATATAAATCCTGTATAATAATAATAATAATAATAATAATATATATAAATCCTGTATAATAATAATAATATAAATCCTGTATAATAATAATAATAATAATAATATAAATCCTGCATAATAATAATAATAATAATTTTCCTTAATCACAATATTTTTATTTTTTTCAATGCATAACATTCGATCTGCGGAAAACAATAGCCTTAGAACATTCACTTTTGCACCATTGACACTCAGATTGAATCTACATGCAGTTGGAATGGACAAACAGCTATGTGAATATTTAATAATTACATCTCAGTATATATATATTAGGAAAGGAAACGTTTTCCTAATTATTTTACTATTTCCAATGAAAAAAAAAAAAAAAAGTAAATACAAATATATGTATTCAAATATACTACCAAATGAATCCCTCAGTCCTGAAAAAAATATGTGTTATACATGTAATATGTTCGGGTAATATTGAAAGTTCTCAGGCAGATCAAAAGTTATTCATTAAAGAAAAAAAAAAAAAAAAAGGCAAATGTAGAAAATACCAGATTATGGCCACTAGATGGCACTGAGTATCATAGGAAAAAAAGTATGTTCCTGGGCTCCAGCACATGGCCATAATGTGGAGTATTCCCCAATCACACTACAAACCATGACACTCGATCTGCAGGAAATAGAGCCTTAGAACATTCGGTCTGGCCCCCCACAGATTGATGTCACATGCAGTTTGCATGGAGGGAAAGCTAGGTGAATATATTATAAATATACCCCATTGTGTGCGTATAATGTATATATATATATATACTGTGCATACAAATAAAGATTTACATATATATGTTTTATATGTACAAAGACACACATACACACATATATATAAATATATATATATGTGTTTTTGTACATATATATAATATATATATATATGCTGTGTGTGTATATATATATGTATGTATATTTATATATAGAAATATATATATAAAAATCTTTATTAGTATGCACAGTATACAGTGCAGTATACATACAGTGGGGCAAAAAAGTATTTAGTCCCCACCAATTGTACAAGTTCTCCCACTTACAAAGATGAGAGAGGCCTGTAATTGGCATCATAGGGAGACCTCAACTATGAGAGACAAAATGAGAAAACAAATCCAGACAATCTCATTGGCTGATCTGGAAAGAATTATATGCAAATTATGGTGGAAAATAAGTATTTGGTCTCCTACAAACAAGCGAGATTTCTGGCTCTCACAGACCTGGACCTTCTTCTTTAACTAGTTGCCAACCGCAGATAGCCAAATGACGGCTGCACTGCTGCGGCCGGCCAGTTCTGAGTGGACGTCATATGACGTCCCCCCAGAACGCGCTCTCCTGCGCGCCCCAGGGGGCGCGCACCCGGCGATCTCCGTGAACACTGTGTCCTACGGACACAGCTGATCACGAGATGTGGTAAAAGGCCGATCATACCGGCCTTTTACCACGTGATCAGCGGTGTCCAATGACACGCTGATCACAGGGAAATGCAAGTGCCGGTTCTCGGCTGCACTTTCCTCACGCTGTCAGATCGTGAGGAAAGTACTGCCGAGAACCGGCAGTTGTCAGAGCGGGGATCGGCACCGATCATCAGGGCCACTGATGATCAGTGCCCTGATGATCGGTGCCCAGCAGTGCCACCCACAAGTTCCGCCCACCTGTGCCCAGCAGTGCGCCCACTAGCTCCGCCCACCTGTGCCCAGCAGTGCACCCACCTGTGCCCAGCAGTGCGCCCAGTAGCTCCGCCCACCTGTGCCCAGCAGTGCACCCACCTGTGCCCAGCAATGCACCCACCTGTGCCCAGCAGTGCACCCAGCAGTGCCACTCTGCAGTGTCACACACCTGTGCCCAGCAGTGCCACCCACCTGTGCCCACCCACCTGTGCCCACCAGTGCCACCCACCTGTGCCCACCCACCAGTGCTGCCCACCAGTGCCACCCACCAGTGCAGCCCAGCAGTGCTGCCAGTCAGTGCCACCAGTCAGTGCCCAGCGGTTGTGCCAGTCAGTGCCACCAGTCAGTGATGCCAGTCAGTGCCATCTGTCAGTACCCATCATCAGTGCCGCCTATCAGTGCTGCATATTAGTGCCGCCTATCCGTGACACCTCATTAGTGCTGTCTATCAGTGCCGCCTATCCGTGCCACCTCATTAGTACTGCCTATCAGTGCCCTTTAGTGCTGCCTATCAGTGCCCATCAGTGCCGCCTATCAGTGCCCATCAGTGCCGCCTCATCAACGCAAATCAGTGAAGGAGAAAAATACCTGTTTGAAAAATTTTATAATAGAAACAAAGAAACTTTTTTTTTTTCAAATTTTTTGCAATTTTTTAATTTATAGCGCAAAAAGTAAAGCGCCCAGTGGCGATTAAATACCACCAAAAGAAAGCTCTATTTGTGAGAAAAAAATGATCAAAATTTCATATGGGTACAATGTTGCATGACCGCGCAATTGTCAATCAAAGTGCGGCAGTGCTGAAAGCTGAAAATTGGCCTGGGCAGGAAGGGGGTAGAAGTGCCTGGTAGGCGAGGGGTTAAGAGGCTCCTCTGTCCTGCACTCATTACCTGCACTCATTACCTGCACTCATTACCTGCACTCTTTACCTGCACTCTTTACCTGCACTCATTACCTGCACTCATTACCTGCACTCATTACCTGCACTCATTACCTGCACTCTTTACCTGCACTCATTACCTGCACTCATTACCTGCACTCTTTACCTGCACTCATTACCTGCACTCATTACCTGCACTCATTACCTGCACTCTTTACCTGCACTCATTACCTGCACTCATTACCTGCACTCTTTACCTGCACTCATTACCTGCACTCATTACCTGCACTCATTACCTGCACTCTTTACCTGCACTCATTACCTGCACTCATTACCTGCACTCTTTACCTGCACTCATTACCTGCACTCATTACCTGCACTCATTACCTGCACTCTTTACCTGCACTCATTACCTGCACTCATTACCTGCACTCTTTACCTGCACTCATTACCTGCACTCATTACCTGCACTCATTACCTGCACTCATTACCTGCACTCTTTACCTGCACTCATTACCTGCACTCATTACCTGCACTCTTTACCTGCACTCATTACCTGCACTCATTACCTGCACTCATTACCTGCACTCTTTACCTGCACTCATTACCTGCACTCATTACCTGCACTCTTTACCTGCACTCATTACCTGCACTCTTTACCTGCACTCTTTACCTGCACTCATTACCTGCACTCATTACCTGTATCAATGGCACCTGTTTGAGGTTGAGGTGTTTTTTTATACCGATAACAAGTTCAGTCACACTCCAAACTCCACTATTTTTTTTTTTTTTTAGGTCCGCAAACGTGCAACTATAAACGAAAAACCCGTAAGTGAATCACAAAAAAAGTGCAAGTGCAAAACACCACACGAAAAAGTGCACTTAGGGGTGTGCTTGTGTCCTACCCCTAAAGGGGATGGACCGCTTACCCTGATCCCCCGGGGCACGAAGCTCCTGATGGGGACAAGGTTCCCAATTGGTCCTCCTGGCCAAAAGGCCTGCTGGACCACCGTTCCTTGTGTCCAGCCGAAACCAGAGACATCCAGTACTTGGTCAGGGGACTCCCCCGAAGAAGAGTCCCCTAGGGATCAGGGGAGGAAGGAACCAAAAGGCCACACATCCTCCCCCTAGACTTCAGGGTAGGCCCGAGGACCCACACCCTCCATCCAGTGAAAACACACGCATAAGCGAAAGAAAAAGTGACAAACGTGGGAGGTGAAATAAATTAAATAAATAGAAAATAAAAAAGTGGTACCGTGCCAAATTGTGTATAGACCAGGCCCTGAGGCCCGTAGCAAAAATTGCCCTGGTCCTAGCCAAAAGGCCTGGTCCTAAGGGCGCTGTGCAAAAAGAGTGTAAAAACAGTGACCATGTGCCATCTTCACACTGTGGGGTCCCACACCCAGGTGTTACTAGTGGCACCCCTGAGAGCGTCTACTCAGGGGGCACTGAGTTTGCAGACTTTCTGCCTCCTCAGCCCCTGGCCAGACCAAGGTAGATCCATCCAAATCAGGAGGTACTGGGTCTTTCCAGTCTTCTCGGAGGAATTACTCCCAGGGCCCCAGCATAACTCGTGGCGCTCCCCGGTTTCTGTCCCTCCGGTACTAGCCTTCCGGACCCCCATCATACCAGTGAGGGTACTATACAACAGCCATCCCTGCAAAGCTAGAATGGCCGGGAGCACCCCCACTGGACACTGATAAGAACAGATACTACACTTGATCTTAGCCAAAAGGCACTCCAAACTCCACTATGGTGAAGACCAAAGAGCTGTCGAAGGACACCAGAAACAAAATTGTAGACCTGCACCAGGCTGGGAAGACTGAATCTGCAATAGGCAAGCAGCTTGGTGTGAACAAATCCACTGTGGGAGCAATAATTAGAAAATGGAAGACATACAAGACCACTGATAATCTCCCTCAATCTGGGGCTCCACGCAAGATCTCACCCCGTGGGGTCAAAATGATCACAAGAACGGTGAGCAAAAATCCCAGGACCACACGGGGGGACCTAGTGAATGACCTGCAGAGAGCTGGGACCAACGTAACAAAGGCTACCATCAGTAACACACTACGCCGCCAGGGACTCAGATCCTGCAGTGCCAGACGTGTCCCCCTGCTTAAGCCAGTACATGTCGGGGCCCGTCTGAGGTTTGCTAGAGAGCATTTGGATGATCCAGAAGAGGATTGGGAGAATGTCATATGGTCAGATGAAACCAAAATAGAACTGTTTGGTAGAAACACAACTCATCGTGTTTGGAGGAGAGAGAATGCTGAGTTGCATCCAAAGAACACCATACCTACTGTGAAGCATGGGGGTGGCAACATCATGCTTTGGGGCTGTTTCTCCGCAAAGGGACCAGGGCGACTGATCCATGTACAGGACAGAATGAATGGGGCCATGTATCGTGAGATCTTGAGTGCAAACCTCCTTCCATCAGCAAGGGCATTGAAGATGAAACGTGGCTGGGTCTTCCGACATGACAATGATCCCAAACATACCGCCCCCGGGCAACGAAGGAGTGGCTTCTTAAGAAGCATTTCAAGGTCCCGGAGTGGCCTAGCCAGTCTCCAGATCTCAGCCCCATAGAAAACCTTTGGAGGGAGTTGAAAGTTCATGTTGCCCAGCGACGGCCCCAAAACATCACTGCTCTAGAGGAGATCTGCATGGAGGAGGAGATCTGCATGGAGGATGGGCCAACATACCAGCAACAGTGTGTGCCAACCTTGTGAAGACTTCCAGGAAACGTCTGACCTCTGTCATTGCCAACAAAGGATATATAACAAAGTATTGACATGAACTTTTCATATTCACCAAATACTTATTTTCCACCATAATTTGCAAATAAATTCTTTCCAGATCAGCCAATGAGATTGTCTGGATTTGTTTTCTCATTTTGTCTCTCATAGTTGAGGTCTCCCTATGATGCCAATTACAGGCCTCTCTCATCTCTGTAAGTGGGAGAACTTGTACAATTGGTGGGGACTAAATACTTTTTTGCCCCACTGTATATGGACTGTATGTGGACTGTATGTGGACTGTATATGGACTGTAATATGGACTGTATGTGGACTGTATGTGGACTGTATGTGGACTGTAATATGGACTGTATGTGGACTGTATGTGCACTGTATGTGCACTGTATGTGGACTGTATATAGGTGTATGGACTGTATGTGGACTGTGTGTGGACTGTATGTGGACTGTATGTGAAATGTGTGTGGACTGTACGTGGACTGTGTATGGACTGTATGTGGACTGTATGTGGACTGTACATGGACTGTATGTGGACTGTATATGGACTGTACATGGACTGTATATGGACTGTATGTGGACTGTATATGGACTGTATGTGGACTGTACATGGACTGTATGTGGACTGTATGTGAACTGTACATGGACTGTATGTGGACTGTGTGTGGACTGTATGTGGACTGTACATGGACTGTATGTGGACTGTATGTGAACTGTACATGGACTGTATGTGGACTGTATGTGGACTGTGTTGGACTGTATGTGGACTGTATATGGACTGTGTATGGACTGTATGTGGACTGTATATGGACTGTATGTGGACTGTATGTGGACTGTAATATGGACTGTATGTGGACTGTATGTGCACTGTATGTGGACTGTATGTGGACTGTATGTGCACTGTATGTGGACTGTATGTGCACTGTATGTGGACTGTATATAGGTGTATGGACTGTATGTGGACTGTGTGTGGACTGTATGTGGACTGTATGTGGACTGTATGTGAAATGTGTGTGGACTGTACGTGGACTGTGTATGGACTGTATGTGGACTGTATATGGACTGTATGTGGACTGTATGTGGACTGTACATGGACTGTATGTGGACTGTACGTGGACTGTATATGGACTGTGTGTGGACTGTACATGGACTGTATATGGACTGTATGTGGACTGTACGTGGACTGTATGTGGACTGTATATGGACTGTGTTGGACTGTATGTGGACTGTATGTGGACTGTGTGTGGACTGTGTATGGACTGTATGTGGACTGTGTGTGGACTGTATGTGGACTGTATGTGGACTGTATGTGAACTGTACATGGACTGTATGTGGACTGTATGTGAACTGTACATGGACTGTATGTGGACTGTATGTGGACTGTATGTGGACTGTATATGGACTGTGTATGGACTGTACGTGAACTGTACATGGACTGTACGTGGACTGTATGTGGACTGTGTATGGACTGTATATGGACTGTATGTCGACTGTGTATGGACTGTACGTGAACTGTACATGGACTGTATGTGGACTGTGTGTGGACTGTATGTGGACTGTATGTGGACTGTATGTGGACTGTGTTGGACTGTA